GTGCGGACTAGGAGGCCATTTGCGGTTTCTAGTGTCGGGGCGGTTGACGTTTCTGTTCTGCCAGACGTGCCCTGGTGCCCCGGGCTGTCGGCCAGGCCGGAGCGGCGCGGAGCTGCGAGGGCCGAACGACGCTGCTTGCAGCTTTAATTATTATTATTATTTATTATTCCGTGCGCGAAATGAATGGCTTTTTGGGGACCTTAACATACCCCAAAACTCACAATATTTTGCACAATTGTCAGGCCTGGTGAAAAATTTGATATTTTAAAGGTCCCAAAAAAATCGCAAAGAAAATGGCTGAACAGCGCCCCCTACAAAGTGAAAAAAAACCCTCTCCATAAAGCTTAGTTTATCGTACAGTTATGAAATTTGGTACACTTGTAGTACTCAACAGTCCGCACAGAAAAGTCTCTTGCAAGCATGGTCAATATCAAACAGGAAGTCGGCCATTTTGGGATGAAATGGCGATTTTTGGCCATTTTTGCCGTTTTTAGGGTCAGTCTCTGATTGGATTGCTCGATCAATTTTCGCACGATCGTCTCAAAAATGGTATAAAATTGCTCAGAAGAAATGGCCGAACAAAATGAGACAAGGATTCTGAGTTTTCGTATATGCTGAAGGGGCGGGGCCAGGCCTCGAAGTTTGACTACTCGCCAAAAAAATTATAACTGCTATAACTTCATAATTGAATGGAATAGAGTTACCAAACTTTCTGTGGTCATTTGTCATCCTCCCACAAAGTAAAATGAATGGTCGGATGATGACATCACACAAGCCCCGCCCCCTCAGGACCAAAAAGGTCAAGTTTTACTATGAAAGGTCCCAAATGGCCCCATTTCACTCAATCCCCACAAATTTGTAACTGTTAACTCAAGACAAGTGGGGGTTGCTTGGCGTCACTTTATGGGAGTTTTCGACAGAGGGCGGGGCTGTGGCGGCGCGGCGAAGTCAGGCGTACCGCCGTGGCCTTACGTTTGCTTCCCATTTCGTCATTTCTAAAAATATCGTCACGAAACTTCTTGTGAGTGATCCTAGTCCGGCCCCTCAAAAGAACTGATGTGAACATCCGGTGGGCGTGGCCTATTTTCTGAAATAGCGCCCCCTAGGACCATTAAAACTGTCAGCCCCAAGCCATGCTTTGACTGAGGATTACGAAATTTGGTACACTAATGTGGTGTCTCAGGACCTACAAAAAAGTCTCTTGGACCCAAGTGCAAAGTCGTACAGGAAGTCGGCCATTTTGGTCCAAGTACGCGATTTAGTGGTTTTCGCACACGTTGTTTGGAGAGTGATGCTCCGTCGTCCTTTTCACCAATCTCCTTCAAACTTCTGCCATATGCTCTTAAGTCATCGGGGAAAAAATTCAACCGTCGGATTTTTCAAAAGTTGAAAGGTGTGGGCGTGGCTAAGCCTCAAACTTTGACCTTTCGCCACGCCACTCTTTTTTTCACAGCTTCCTATTGGACTCCTTTTACCCAATCACCAATAATCTCTGGCAAATAGCAGTAGACAACTTGAGGTCACTTGGTATCCAGTACTGGCAGGTTTCGAGTAAAGGCGGGGCTTTGGCAGCATGGCGAAAATCACCATCACGCCATGGAAATACGTTTGCCTCTCATTTCTTCAGTTATTGTGATAGCGCTACGAAACTTCTTGTAAGTGATCCTTGTCTGACCCCCAAGAGACAAACATAGCTGAAATTTGTGGGCGTGGCCTATTTTCTTAAATAGCGCCCCCTAGGACCATTTAAACTAATAGCCCCAAGCCATGCTTTGACTGAAGATTACGAAATTTGGTACACTAATGTGGGGTCTCAGGACCTACAAAAAAGTCTCTTGGAGCCAAGCGTAAAGTCGCACAGGAAGTCAGCCATTTTGGTCCAAGTACGCGATTTAGTGGTTTTCGCACACGTTGTTTGGAGAGTGATGCTCCGTCGCCCTTTTCACCAATCACTTTCAAACTTCTACTATATACTCTTAAGACGTAGGGGAAAAAATTCAACCGTCGCATTTTTCAAAAGTTGAAAGGTGTGGGCGTGGCTAAGTCTCAAACTTTGACCTTTCGCCATTACTTTACTTGACTTAATAACTCCCATGTGCAAGATCAGATCTTTTTCAAACTTTGTCTGTGTGATCATTGACCATATCTGTAAAAAATGACAATGTGGACAGCTGACATCACCTAAGCCCCGCCCCCTGACCACAGGAAGTCTATTTTTTTATGCTGAAATGCCCATATTTGTCCCCTCTAATTTAGTCAACAAGACACCAAGGTCATGCACTGTCTTCATGATGCTGTATTGACCATTCAGATCTGATAGCTTTCCAGAAAGGGAAGGGCTTTGATGCCATGGCGAATTCTGGCGTAACGCCGCACCCTTACAATTCAATTTAATGGTGAGCTCAGAGGGGATGCTGAGTAAGGGTGAGGTGCGGACTAGGAGGCCATTTGCGGTTTCTAGTGTCGGGGCGGTTGACGTTTCTGTTCTGCCAGACGTGCCCTGGTGCCCCGGGCTGTCGGCCAGGCCGGAGCGGCGCGGAGCTGCGAGGGCCGAACGACGCTGCTTGCAGCTTTAATTATTATTTATTATTCCGTGCGCGAAATGAATGGCTTTTTGGGGACCTTAACATACCCCAAAACTCACAATATTTTGCACAATTGTCAGGCCTGGTGAAAAATTTGATATTTTAAAGGTCCCAAAAAAATCGCAAAGAAAATGGCTGAACAGCGCCCCCTACAAAGTGAAAAAAACCCCTCTCCATAAAGCTTAGTTTATCGTACAGTTATGAAATTTGGTACACTTGTAGTACTCAACAGTCCGCACAGAAAAGTCTCTTGCAAGCATGGTCAATATCAAACAGGAAGTCGGCCATTTTGGGATGAAATGGCGATTTTTGGCCGTTTTTGCCGTTTTTAGGGTCAGTCTCTGATTGGATTGCTCGATCAATTTTCGCACGATCGTCTCAAAAATGGTATAAAATTGCTCAGAAGAAATGGCCGAACAAAATGAGACAAGGATTCTGAGTTTTCGTATATGCTGAAGGGGCGGGGCCAGGCCTCGAAGTTTGACTACTCGCCAAAAAAATTAAAACTGCTATAACTTCATAATTGAATGGAATAGAGTTACCAAACTTTCTGTGGTCATTTGTCATCCTCCCACAAAGTAAAATGAATGGTCGGATGATGACATCACACAAGCCCCGCCCCCTCAGGACCAAAAAGGTCAAGTTTTACTATGAAAGGTCCCAAATGGCCCCATTTCACTCAATCCCCACAAATTTGTAACTGTTAACTCAAGACAAGTGGGGGTTGCTTGGCGTCACTTTATGGGAGTTTTCGACAGAGGGCGGGGCTGTGGCGGCGCGGCGAAGTCAGGCGTACCGCCGTGGCCTTACGTTTGCCTCCCATTTCGTCATTTCTAAAAATATCGTCACGAAACTTCTTGTGAGTGATCCTAGTCCGGCCCCTCAAAAGAACTGATGTGAACATCCGGTGGGCGTGGCCTATTTTCTGAAATAGCGCCCCCTAGGACCTTTAAAACTGTCAGCCCCAAGCCATGCTTTGACTGAGGATTACGAAATTTGGTACACTAATGTGGTGTCTCAGGACCTACAAAAAAGTCTCTTGGACCCAAGTGCAAAGTCGTACAGGAAGTCGGCCATTTTGGTCCAAGTACGCGATTTAGTGGTTTTCGCACACGTTGTTTGGAGAGTGATGCTCCGTCGTCCTTTTCACCAATCTCCTTCAAACTTCTGCCATATGCTCTTAAGTCATCGGGGAAAAAATTCAACCGTCGGATTTTTCAAAAGTTGAAAGGTGTGGGCGTGGCTAAGCCTCAAACTTTGACCTTTCGCCACGCCACTCTTTTTTTCACAGCTTCCTATTGGACTCCTTTTACCCAATCACCAATAATCTCTGGCAAATAGCAGTAGACAACTTGAGGTCACTTGGTATCCAGTACTGGCAGGTTTCGAGTAAAGGCGGGGCTTTGGCAGCATGGCGAAAATCACCATCACGCCATGGAAATACGTTTGCCTCTCATTTCTTCAGTTATTGTGATAGCGCTACGAAACTTCTTGTAAGTGATCCTTGTCTGACCCCCAAGAGACAAACATAGCTGAAATTTGTGGGCGTGGCCTATTTTCTTAAATAGCGCCCCCTAGGACCATTTAAACTAATAGCCCCAAGCCATGCTTTGACTGAAGATTACGAAATTTGGTACACTAATGTGGGGTCTCAGGACCTACAAAAAAGTCTCTTGGAGCCAAGCGTAAAGTCGCACAGGAAGTCAGCCATTTTGGTCCAAGTACGCGATTTAGTGGTTTTCGCACACGTTGTTTGGAGAGTGATGCTCCGTCGCCCTTTTCACCAATCACTTTCAAACTTCTACTATATACTCTTAAGACGTAGGGGAAAAAATTCAACCGTCGCATTTTTCAAAAGTTGAAAGGTGTGGGCGTGGCTAAGTCTCAAACTTTGACCTTTCGCCATTACTTTACTTGACTTAATAACTCCCATGTGCAAGATCAGATCTTTTTCAAACTTTGTCTGTGTGATCATTGACCATATCTGTAAAAAATGACAATGTGGACAGCTGACATCACCTAAGCCCCGCCCCCTGACCACAGGAAGTCTATTTTTTTATGCTGAAATGCCCATATTTGTCCCCTCTAATTTAGTCAACAAGACACCAAGGTCATGCACTGTCTTCATGATGCTGTATTGACCATTCAGATCTGATAGCTTTCCAGAAAGGGAAGGGCTTTGATGCCATGGCGAATTCTGGCGTAACGCCGCACCCTTACAATTCAATTTAATGGTGAGCTCAGAGGGGATGCTGAGTAAGGGTGAGGTGCGGACTAGGAGGCCATTTGCGGTTTCTAGTGTCGGGGCGGTTGACGTTTCTGTTCTGCCAGACGTGCCCTGGTGCCCCGGGCTGTCGGCCAGGCCGGAGCGGCGCGGAGCTGCGAGGGCCGAACGACGCTGCTTGCAGCTTTAATTAGTTAATTTACTTTTGATAGCAAAAACAAAATATTTAATGTAAAAGTTATTTTCCAGGAGAATCAGCTCACACGTCACCACCAAGTGTCACAGGGGCAGAATCAGTAGCCTCCGTCATGATGTAATCACATACTTATTTAATTGTTAATATCTTAAAAATTCTGAAATTTTTAAATTTTTTTTTAACCTTGAACAGTTCACTGAGCTTGCACTGTCACTGAGGTGGAAGCTGGAATCAACAGCAGACACCTCACATCTTGGTCTTTTCAGGGGGTCTGGACGCTCTGGGACCTTCTGGAAGATGAATTTTCATCATGGTCCCCGTGGGTCACCAGACACACTGCGGCTGTGAACTCCATTCTGGCTGGCTATGTAAAAACAAAGAAGCAGCACATTTATAAATGTTTAAAAGAGCATAAAATCCCGTGTAACAATAATCTGTAAAACAAATTAAAACTAGAAGGTGATAATAAAATGTTTACATAGAAGATTATTAAAAATAATTCACCTTTGCTACAGGGAAGGTTTCACATCAGCCTGGACAAGTACATTCATGCAGCTAAATCAGTCTGACAGCCAGTGTCTTGGGTAGATTTAGCCTGAAAAAAAAAATAGAAGCACATTGTTGTTGGGAGTTTATAAAGTCAGATAATATACAAAAGAATCTCCTATATAGGCGCTTTATAACATTCCTAGTGTGTGATCGTTGTTATAACGTAAAAGTCCGTCACATATGATGTGGAGAGCCTGAAATGCGACCTCCTGAACAGAATTCCTCACAGAACCTGTTCACAAGCTGGATTTCACGCTGTAATGATGTCTGTCAACTAGTGCAGCGTTAGTTAGAGCCACTGTTGCAGAATTGCCGACTGACTAGCTAAAGGAAGTGAACCACGTCTCTCAGACTTTGCATTTAGGTAGGGAATTGTCTTTAGAAGATGTTAAAACGTTTATTTAGCTGACTCACCTCAGACTGGAGCCCGCCGTGGTGGGGGAGCAGAGTCGGTGGGCTGCATCTAAATCGCGGAAGAGCCACGGTGGGCAGCCTCCCTCTTCAAACGGAGGCGTGCAGAATCGCGGGTAAAATGCCCACAGAGTCACCGCAAGCATACTACACTACACCTACTCACCAATACTAAGACGATATGGAACACTAAACCCGAAATACTTTCCCAATTACACTAACAGCCAAACACTAACTAAACTACAATATCCAACAGCCAAATCTAACACTAAATAAGTATTTATAACACTAAAAGATATGCTAAAGACTAGGATATGCTAATGCTATATGCTAATGCTGAACTACCGCTGACCTCCTATGCTCGCTTGCAAATCCAACTCCCACTCGCCACAAGGCGTGGCCGAGACGCTCGTTGCTTTTATAACTTTGGCACGGAGCTGCAACGTAGTACTCTACTGGTTTACGTAGTAATTTACTCTTTAGCCATTGACTAAAATTTATTCAAAATGACTGAAATTCTATGTTTTCAGCTGAAGGTGGCGCATTACTGTGGTTTTTAGACAGAATTTTTAATTTTTAAAGAAAATGCACCAAAATGCTAAAATAAAGAATGCACACATTTAAAACACTATTAGACACTCATTTATACAGTTCATCAGCAAAAAAAAGTTAATTTAGACGTTACTTGCTCTTTAACCCGATCATAACCCAGATATTGGCCGCATGTAAACGTAGTCACTGTTGCTCACGTTTCTTCAGTGCTCCCTAGGTTTTCTTCAGCTCGCCTCTTTTTCAGTTGAATATTTAAAGTTACTTTTATCGTAACACACACACACACACACACACACACACACACACACACACACACACACACACACACACACACACACACACCTCAGTCAACATTGTTTTGTTTAACTGTGTGTGGGGAAAAATGCCACCAACGTTAGGAAAAAATCAGTTAAATCAAATTAAAATAAAATGGTTCTAGTGTTTCATATTTCCTAGTTCCTACTGCATGAGTTCAGATGCATTAATTCATGCACTTAAATATTAATGTTCTGATTTTACTGAAAAACTTGTTCTGTAATAGTTTCTTTACTATTGTGATCAAAAATATTTAATCTCAGTTCTGAGGCTGCTTTGTAAATAGTTTTCAAATAAACAATACACATAGCAACTTCTGATCAATCCATATTAATTTCAGATTTAAAATAATGTATTGATGTAAACCACACCCACTCATTTCCAAATAATAAATAAGAGGTGCATTCATCTGTGTTTGTCCTTTGATCCGCATTACTGATATTTTCAGCACCAGAACAATGAAGCAAAGAAACATATTCCTGAGTTTATGTTAGTAATTTTATTTATTTGGTGCATCTGACCTGTTCTATTTTTCTCTGAAATGAGATCAGATCAGTGCTTCTATGGGTTGTCTCCTCTCTGCACTAGAAAAATGTACTTCATTATAATGTTCACTATAATGCATCTTGATGTTATTAACAAATAAATTAAATCAAAGATATTGGTCAATAATGCTAAATGTGTAAATTTGTGTTTCAGTCATTTTTATACTGGCTTAAAAATACTTCATTAAGTCTACTAAGCAGGGGTGTAGAACGGGTTTAACAGGGCCAGCCCAGTAATGATCTTGGACCAAAATAAGGGGGCAGAAGGAGATGTTTTTCCAGACGCCAAGAAAAATTAAATGCCCCCCCCCCCCCCCCCCTGCAAAGTGTGTCACTGAGAGTTTAAAACAGAAATTATTCTTGTGCAAAAATTGGGTGTATTAACCTTTAATACTAGTTATTAAAATGCAGCAGCTGCTGGATTGGTGCAGTTCAAAGTGGAGTGCATCAAATAAAAAAATATTAACATAAAGGTGAGACGTGCAATAATTCCCCCCCCCCCCCCCCCCCCCCCCCAATCCCCACCAACACCAGAAAAATTCCTAGGGGAAACACTGCACTCCACAACATAGCCCAGAGTTATCCCACAACATAGCCCAGAGTTAGCCTCTTGGCAAAGCGGTACCTCTGTATTCCTGCTACTAGCTGACCCTCAGAGAGGGCTTTTTGCACAGGTGGCAATATTGTGTCATAGGTCAGCTTTAAAGCCAGATGCTGTGAACAGGTTAGTGTTCCTGGCAAAAGATCTGTCACCAAGTCCTGAGTAATGTGCACCTCGCTTCAAGACCAACTACATCCAGGCTGACAAAATAGAAATTGTAAAAATCAACACTGTCTCTCAGATGTTGGATGAATGCAAGACTTCATAGTCCAGACCAACTACCTCAGCAGAAGCTACATCTTCAGCTACACCAGTGAATGTAACAAAAACAAAAAGACTCTTGGCACCTTTTTCAAAAAGCCCTTTGAAGTTTCAACGTCTGGTTAAACAGACGAGCAGGCTGTAGTCCTAAGTAATGTGCACCAGTGTTATGCTCTATTGTGTTTACACATTTTATTCAGTCGGTTTATAGCACAGCAAAACTGACATTCAGGTTTACAGTTTAAACTTTGCTCTATAGGTGTGTTATTGTTTGCATAAAAATATTTGATTTGAGAATTCTGCACAGCTAATTTTTATATTTGTTTATCGTTGTTTGATTTTGTACCTGCAAAGTAGCTAAACTGTATTGTTAAGATTAAGTGCCAGTAGCTATGGCATAAACGGCATATTCATATCATAGATAAAAAAAGATTACATTTTAGGGTCTGTTAATTTTCCAAAGCAGACCATTTGTTTATTTTGTACCTGTATATCATTAAATACACAGAGAAAGTCAATAAAACGTTTAACTAATATCTAGTTTCATTATTTTTACATTTTAAGCTGCTTTAAACTGACAATATAAAAATTAATCGTGATTAAAATTGAGATCGAACGATATGGAAAAATATATCATGATCATTCTTTTTGCCATATCGCCCAGGCCTACCCACAAAGCAATATTGTCATAGAAATATAAGCAGAAGTTTGAAAGAAAAACAAAAGTATCTAAATTCTGTTTCAACAACTTACTTAGTAAAACTTTTTATTGGAGGTTCAGGATTGTTTAAAAAATAATTTCTCATTTTCCCCAACAGCCATACTGATGGCTTATTAAAATTAAAAGTTTTGTTTGGAAATTGCAAAACAGAAATGAGACATTTAGTGTTTTTATTTTGCTCAGTCACTGAAACTCAATGTTGACACACTTCCTGTAGACCATGTGATCAATCCAGCTGTAAAATCCAGGCTGATTTTACAAATATTTATACTCCTGTTGATGCTAAACTCTTAAAATAGAACTTATTTTCAACTCAGTTAATATGTCTCTGCTGGAATCAATTTGATCAACATGTGCTGGAAAATTAATAAAATTATTTCTCAAAATGGCTGCCATCTTAGTTTGAGCCATTTTAAAAAAATCAGCAAATTCACCCCTCATCAGCTTTATTTATGGAGGTTTGTAGTCAGGGTGGCTGTTCTTTTATTCTCTGATGATTAACTAATCCTGGGAGCTGCAATCATGAGGAAGGAAACAAAAGGACGCCTAAATGTGCTGCATTTAGTCCTCCTGGTGCCATTTAAACCCCCACCCCAAAAAGCAGTTTGCACATGTATAACTAAATTATAGTGAGAATAGATGTTAAATACCAGCGTAAAGTGGGCCATAAACATACTATTAGGCAGTATGGCGGTGTTGTGTGAATATGCCTGCTCTGTTTTTTTTTTTTTGTGAGCCTGGGGGAGGGCCAGCTGAAGCACTGCTCCAGCCTAGCGGCAGGCAGGAAAATAAAAGCCACATAATATAATCTGAGCAGTGAGAGGCAGCCCTCTTTCTAAAATGTGAACACACACACACACACACACACACACACACACACACACACACACACACACACACACACACACACAGGAATTTAAGATGGAAACCCTTAATCTGCACCATGCCTGCGTCAGTTCTCGTGATATTTCTGAGAATAATGCGGTGAGATTTTTTAACACAGTTTTCAGTAGAGGGAGGAAGAAGAAAAGAGAAAAGCTGAATATTAATAAAAAAATGTCTCCTGCTTTGCACAATAAACAAATAAATGAAACACTATTGACCTTGGCTATATCCTGTTATTCACAAAGCTTACAAGTTCACCTCTGGTGTGGGAAACAATAAAAGATAAATAAAACCCTGCTGCAATAAATTAATATTTAAACAGACATTATGGAAAAATACACAGCCATAGCTGGAAAATTAAATATCCTCCTCCATAAAAGGCATTCATGGAGGATTTCTGTCCAATAAATGTTTTCTTTTTCAAAAGTAGCAGCTCACATTGCCCTGGCTGTGTGTCCTCGAGGTTTCCTGGACTAATCCTCCATATTTCAGAGTAGAGAAGCTCATTTCACCCTTAAACAAAAAATTAAAACATTTCCCCTTAAACTGAGCCAATTACATCGGAGACAAAATGTCGGGGAGGACTAGATAAAAATATCAATAAGCTTCCTATTTAAAGCACCACAAACGTTGCTCCACCTAGTTCATGTCGAGGAGGAAAATAATATATATTTATGTGTGTTTAATATCACGTCGGCGGAATTAACGTTCAAACATGGAGAATGGCGACGCGGCAGAGCTAGGTTGTTTCTGCTGAAAATGAGCACGAGCCCAAAAGTTTCCTGATAATTTTTCAGGCAGCCAAACGGGTAGAAATTAAATTTTATTTGAGCTAATGTGCTGCTTGGTGTGGGTGGGGGTTGGTAGCCGGGGGAAGAAGAAGACTTGTGTCGACACGACACACACACACAAAGAAATTAATCATTAACATGGCGAAAATATCAGTAATATTAAACTGAAATTCAGCAGCTGAGACTCCGATATGAACCCAAGACACAGCTCGGAGAAAACCACCGACTGTTCCCCGAGAAATGTACAAATATCAGCCGTTTATTAGACACTAGCCCAAAGAGGAAAAAAAAAGTTGAGCCTGGCTGAATAAAGTTGTAATTGCAGTCAGAGCAACTCTCGGTGCCTGATATGGCAAAACAATCAATACGACATGGCCAAACTGAATTAAATTAAAGGCGAAATTTGACTAAAATTCACACCGACACGCGGTAAAAATATTACCCCGTCAACGTGTAACAAAACGAGCGGACAAAAGCGACATAAATCGGTATTTATTTGGAAATTATATCGGCTTTACCTGTATTGCATTGTGCTCCATTGCAGTCCTGCATTCCCTCTCAGCGAGGCCCCTCTCCGGTTACACCGCCGGGACGCGCCGGCACACAAACAAACGCACCACAAAAGAGGAGGGCTTAAAAAAAAAAGAAAGAGCTTATTTATTTATTTATTTATTTATTTATTTATTTATTTATTTATTTTTAAAGGGTTAGGATCTGGGTGTGGCCAAAGTTTGCCACACAGAACAACTTATAGCTAAAGTCACATTTAAAGGGGGAGTTTTTTCAGCATATTTTGCTTAATCGACATGACGTATTTCCGCCTGAAACGCAATACGAGGGCGGGGTTTAGCCACAGGAGAAAATCACAGAAAAATAAAAACGTTTAAATTTGGTCATAAAATACACGCAAGTACCCATAATGCATCTCACGATTGAATCATTTCATCTGACGAGTCTCATCTATAAAAAATAAAGCGAACATTTTCTGAAATGTACACTATTTTCTTTTTCTTACCAACAAAGCAAACACTCCTACAAGAAAAAAAAATGTTTATTTTTACATCATATTTCAGAACAAATATTAGACAAATAAGTCATTATCTAAACTCAGACATAGTATAACATAATTAACATTTTGCCATTTAAATCAAAATAATTTTATTTCAATAGATGTTTTTATTGTAATCAACTACTGTAGCACAAAAAACCTGATTTAAAATTATAATAAATGCCTTTAATACAACAAACTGTATTTGTTTATTGAGTTATTGTGGACTTCTATTGGAAAATTTACTACGCAATGTTTTATTCATACCTTTAAATGGGAACTGATCTTCCAAAGTGGTTTAAACGAAGCCAACTGGACTTCTTTGGTTCCTTGAAGACGTTCTGCTTTCAAAACATCTTCAAGAAACAAGTTCAGCTGCCTTAACCCCTTCGGATTACCATGGATTACTGAAAACCTTCACCAGCATATGAACTGATCTGTAAAATTAGGGGAAATTTTTTTCAAAAATGCTTCTTTACAGTCTAATGCCTTTCAAAACAAATTCATTTCATTTCCATTTAAAATACACCCAACCAGAGTCAACTAAAGTCAACTTTATCAAAATCACACTGGAGCTAATTTTGTTTAGTTGCAAAAACAAGAACAAGCACATAAAAGGCAATAGATGAAAACAGGTATTGTGTTGCAGATACAATGGTCAATTGTACAATGCGCCTTGGGGGGTTCCAGGACTCTAGAAGGTGCTATTTCAAATACAGGCTATTTACCATTTTATTGATAATCTACACGTTTAGGGGAAGGATAATCTGTAATCACCAAATTGGGTCCAGGACTAGGGCTGGGCGATATGGCCTAAAATCAATATCACGATATATTGAGGATATAACCTCGATAACGATAAATGGACAATAACTACAGGTATGCGCAGACAAAAGTTGTCCACTAGATGGGGCTGTCAAATGTATTACGTTGAGTCACATTTTTACGTCTTCATAAAAGGACATGAACGTTGTCAACCTACAAACACCTTTTCTTTTTTTTATCATCAAATTTATTGGCAAGGGAAAAATTTTCTTGATAAAAGTCAGAAATTTCGATAACGATAAATTTTCGATATATCGCCCAGCCCTATCCAGGACCAAAACTGCAAATCTCCAGTTATGTTGCAGCAATGCCACATGTCCACGACTCCTCTGGATAACACCGTCTGATATTAGCTCCATCAGCAGCATTCTGCAGCACATTGCAGGCCACATCAGATAAGTGAAGTTGGACGTAGCATTGGCTAAGATTTATTTGTTTGTAAGATTTATCCTAGATTATTATAAAACTGAGGCCCTGTCCACACGTAGCCGGGGATCTGCCAAAACGTAGATATTTTTCTATGTTTTAGACTGTCATCCACACGAAAACGGAGTTTTTTCACACGAAAACGGATCTTTTTAAAAACTCTGGCCAAAGTGAAGATCTGCGTTTTCTCCGTTTTGGGTGTCTGCGTGTGGACAGACAAAACCGGAGTTTTAAGGTCCGCAACGTCACTTTCCGCGACAAAAAAATGCTGACATCACGTGTGCGACCTGTGTTTACACTAGCCGACAGCATGGATGCCCTCAGAGCTGAGCTCTGTCACTACCCAATCCATCAATTGTCCAAGCGCTTTTTGCTTGTTTGTTTTTGCAAGCGGAATTACTGCTCCTTGCGGAAGACCACAGACGAAAGACGAGGTTAAGAACGGGGGAAGTGCTGCCGCCTACAGGTCTGGCATGTCCTTAACAACGTATTTATCCGGGTAGGTGTGGACAGTTTTTTTTTAAACGAGGTGGTGTGGATGCAAGTTTTTGGAGGGGCGGATATTCATTTTTTAGAAAAACTGGCTATGTGTGGACTAGGCCTTAAACTGCCCTGGAAAATGATGCCCCAGATAAAACTTCTAGTTGGCATTTACATGCAACTGGTAAAATCCCAGCATGCATGAATTAAATAATTTAGGAAATTCTGGATTACAAATTATTCCAACCGAAAACATTTAGCTGCTGGAGCCCGTGAAGTGATGCAGAATGATTCAGACAGACCTAATATCAGACCTTATCAGGCACTTAGTATCAGTGCAACATGACTGGAGAGCTACTTCACTGGTTCTGGGCCAAAAACCTACAGTTGGTCCAGGACTGGAACCAGTATGGTGACTACACAGTCCTGTCTCATGTTGAAGTTGGAAACCCAACTTTTAGGCTGTATTTCAGTTTAGAACTCAGATATTTTTATTCCAGTTCATGAATGCAATATAAAAATACTCGTGTCCAATCTGGCCCTAAAGGGCTTCCACATGGCAAGTTTAAGTTGTTCACTCTTTTCCAACACACCTGATCTTCTCATTCTGAAATTCTGCTGGAGTCCATTAATGACCTGATAATCTGAATCAGGTGCGTTAAAGCAAGCAACCATCTGAAGAAGGTCAGATGGCCGACGAGTAATCCCATTACAGCTAAAATACTGCCACCCTCTGGTAGTTTTGGGTGTTGCATCCTCAAGTTTTTCTCAAATCATCTTTATGATATAAATAAATAAATGATAGGATTTGGAAAATACAAGTGGTTCACAGGAGTGAAGAGAGTTAGAATATTTTCACTTTAACAGTTACAACAAAAACATCAAACTTGTTGAATAAACCCCAGATTCAAGCAGAATGAGGAAATAAAGAGCAACAGTTCAGGTTTAAAATACTGTTGACAATCACTACATTTGTGAGAGTTGAAAACGTACCCACATTTCCTATTGGATCAGATCAGAAAACACCTGCTGGACTAGAGGTCACTTCCTGATGGCGACCAATGATAGACGAGGAGCGGTATTTTAATCTGGAGTTTCTGGTTCATCTGACATGAGATTGAAAGGATCCCGTCTATCAAGGAAAGGCCAAACCTGTTGGGGTGATTTCAGACGACTACGTCTGCTGGAAATATGAAAAATGTCTGAGAAAAATTGACCTGGATTAAAAAGTATTAAATACATCTCAAATGTTGGAAAACACGATTTAAAGGAGCAATGAATTAGAATTCTACAGGAAAATAATCACAAAACAGTCTCAATCATGTTGGAAGGAAGGTTAGAAACAGATTTCCTTCTCAGCTAGCTGGGGGTGGCCAGTTTTGTCCTTTAAAAAAACAAAACAAAAGTGGGACGTTGCTACTGGTTGTATCAGTGAATTTGTGAGGTTGCAGTGTCTCGGGCAAGCTAGCTACAGCGCTGGGATTTGTAATGAAACACCTGCAGGCAGAAAGCTCCAGGTTTGTTTAAATAACCAAAGCCAGTAAACCGAAGCAACCTAGAAGTTATTTCTTGTCCCCCGAAGAAATAATTGCATATTTTTGATTTACTCTAATATTGAGTGAAGCAGGTTAGAGGCTAACATTGAGCTAACAATGCTAACGAATTAGAAGCAAATAATCAGCTCCTCTCGATGTGGAGGAGCAGCAGGTCTACTCCAAGCCCCTCCCAGATGACCAAGCTTCTCACCCAGTAGCGGTTTTAGGCACGGGCAGACAGGGCAGTTGCCCGGGGCGGCATTTTTTCATGACACAAAAGGGGCGCACAAGCGCTGAGTAAAAAATAAAAAAGAAAGAAATCTGCGCCGCACCAAGGTTTTCTATTCTATCTGTCATATCACAGTGTCTGGATTGGAAACAGCAAGTTGGCACCCCCTGCAGCTGCAGGCGCTCCTGCTGACTGAGAGGGTTCAGGTGAACCATGTGTGTATGAAGAAGAGGAAGGGGAGGGGTGTGGTGGGGGAATTCACCTGTGGGGCTTTCCCAAATGAAATGAGCGGATAGGGGCTGAATCAACTGTATTAACATGGCTAAAGTCAATCACATCTTGATGTTCTTCCATTTAACGCACATTTCATTCATAATATCATAAACACAGGCCTATCATTCTTTCAGGTTTTTCTGAATTGTGTGAAATGGCCGAATAAAAAAGGGAAAAACAAAACGATTTTGTGGTCACCCACCCATCAAGGTCAGTTTTTTAGTCCTGACTAAAGGAAACTTACTGAGTCAAGAGCCAAACAGAAGAGATGAACATAAAAAGGCTAAAACCACCAGGTGCCCGATTCAGGAAAAAAGAAAAAGAAAAAAGAGGAGAAAGATAAAGGTATGTACGCTCTCATGATGCATGTTTTCAATGTTTTGAACCAGTTAACTGGGATTTTAACGGTTAAATTCGGTCAGCTAATTGCTAACAGAGCTAATAGGGCTGAAATATTCAAACGAATATTCAAATGGTTCGAAAAAATTCCTTGAATCGTTTTTTACTGATTCAAACTAGGATTTGTTAAATGCTCGCTGCAGCCCGTGGCCTGCCTGAACAACAACAAACACATGTTGATCATGTTTACATAATAATAAATAAAACAACTCTACAAGCAGAAGAAAACTCCCCAGTCACCACTAACTATCCTGTTTACTTATTGCAGATGGCTGCACTGATTGTTTTTTTACATGATTTGTTCTGTAAAAGTTGGCATTTTTGGTAGTCTACAGTTTTTTTTATGTCAGTTTAAATTACAAGTTCAGAGGCAATTCTAAAATATTATGGATCATGATAAAGA